AGTTATGTTGTGCGTTTGGTGGAACTTTGAAGGCATCGTGCATTTTGAGTTGGTTCCGAATGGCCGTGCCATCAGTGCCGAACTTTACTGTCAGCAACTGGAGCGGGTCTACGAAAAGTTGAAAGTACCCGGCTCTGATCAATCGAAAGCGCGCTTTGATGCAGCAGGACAATGCCAAGCCACACACCGCAAGGAAGACCAAAGACAAGTTTGAAGAGCTGGACGGCGTTGAGGTTCTGCCACATCCAGCCTACAATCCTGACTGTGCTCCATCAGATTACGGCCTTTTCCGCTCAATGCAACACTTTCTGAAGGGCCGCCGATTCGACTCGTTTGATGACGTCGAGGAAGCGGTGTCAAGAATTCTTTGATTCGAAGCCGACTGAATGGCACTTTCATCAGATCTGAAAGCTTGCAGATCGATGGCAGAAAGTCTTGGAAAATGATGGTCTTTATTTTGAGGAATAATCTTTGTTATTACTTGGCGAGTAAAATTTCAATTTTTTGCAAGTGTTTACGAACTTTTGGGACAACCTAATACTTGACCTTCCTACCCATCGATCAACATATATAAGAAGTCGAGCCACCAAAAACATACGTGGCCTTAAGATTGCGTTCACGCATGAAACAGACTCGGTGTTGACCAATTGTTGATCGCTTAATACTTGTAAGAAGTACGAAAGATCTGCTAGTTACAGTCTGTCTGTTTCTGTCTCTGTCTCTGTCTGTCTGTTTCTCTCTCTCTATATATATATAAATAAATTCACAAACACACTCATGCACATACACACAAAGAGAAAAAAAACAACCTAACACTAATAATAAGAGTATCCCGACTATTGAATAAATGAATCAAATCAAATTTAATATAAACATAAAGATAAATGTGAAAACTGACAATCGATTGCTCAAACCTCCTGACGAGTGGACTGAATATTTACGGAAGGTTTATCTCCGAAACTCTGAAGTCAAGGTGCTGGATATAACATCAATCAGTGACAAATTCTACTTGTATCATACTTATTATAAAACCCAGGTTGTGTGTGTGTGTGTGTGTGTGTGTGTGTGTGTGTGTGTGTGTGTGTGTGTGTGTGTGTGTGTGTGTGTGTGTATGTGTGATGTGTGTGTGTGATTGTGCGTGCGTTTATATATTGGATCGGATTTCTTACATTTTTCAACCGATTTCAACAAAACTTCACAGGACTACATAAAATTACCTTGCTGTGGTTCTGACAGCGCCAAAAACTGGAAAAACACAATTGTTTTTGCACGAAATCAATTTGAAAACACGATTAAGAGGTATCACGAGAATGAAAGGGGGACAACTTATATCGAGTTATACTTATTATAAAACCCAGCTTGTTTGTGTGTGTGTTCGTTTATATATGGGATCGGATTTCCTACATTTTTCAACTGATTTTAACAAAACTTCACCTTTTCTTTTGGCAGGTCGTGTTTCTTATTGTCTTGCACACTTTTTTCTTTATTTTTACAATCAGAATCCATTTACAAGACAATTGTTTATAATAAAATTCTATTCAATCAGTAGACTCATAACGATTGAAAACAATGTTTTTGTTTGAGTTTGGGTTTGACCAATTCGTAAAAAAAAAAGAAAAAAAAAAAACAAAACAAAAATAAAACTAATTAAGACATGCGTGTCCGTCAACCTTAAACAATAATCTTTGTCAATTTTATTTTTCAGTCTTTATGATGGTCGATACTTGATGTGTGCATTTATATATGCCTGTCATGGCTTTAGCCAGTTTGTAAGGGGTGCTGCATATTCCTGAAGTAATCTGGTGCATTGGAATGCCTGCTTTGTGGGGTCTAGGGAGTAAATTTTGGGTATTATAGTGTGATATTCTATAAGTCTATACTACGATTTTTATATTTTATAATTACTTTCTAATCGATTTATTAATATTTTGTGTTTCAGTAATGATATTTGATTTGTTTATTTTAGTAAATTTATATATATATATATATATATATATATATATATTATTTATATATATATATATATATATATATATATATATGAGTAATACAAATACAAAATTTGTCACAGCTGATTGATGTTATATTCAGCGCACTGACTCTAGAATTTTGTAGAGGAATCTTTGTGTAATCATTCGTTCCACTCGTCAGTAGCTACCAGCAACTGTCTGCAGAACTTCTTACTTTATTTTTATGCTAAATTAACGAAAGAGAGAGAGGTTGAGGAAGGTAAGAGAGAAAGGGGAGGTATAGAAAGAGCAACTGTTTCCTGCTATGTTTTCATACTCCTTACAAGTATTATTTGCTTTCACTTGCTCATCAGAATACACTATTTCAACATTCGGAAGCACTTACTCAAATCTGGATTAAAATCTTTCAGTTCGCCGTTGGATAAAAGAAAACAATCTTGGATGCCTGACGAAAATCTATCCTAAATGGACAATAAAAAAAAGAAAATCTCACGCTTTAATTATCTCCCTTGGTTACTTTTTTTTTTTTTTTTCGTCTTCTTATTTTGACCTCATTTTTATTTAAAGATGAAAGACAACGCACGACGTGTAAAACAGTTTAAGAATCCCCGATGAAATTCTGTAACGCGTTTTATTTGATAAAAATTGATTAATGTCTATTTTACGGCATGCACAAATGTACACCGACATCAACGACAATTCAACTACAGGATAAAACTGACAACAAAAAAGTCAAATAGAATTACTGAAGCATACGTTCTAGTTTCAAAGCTAGTATAATCAAGTCTACTCTTCTTCATCTATAGAGAAATTTTCCAGCATCTACAGTCATATAGAAGGATTTATATTATATAACAGTTCAACACACTTTGTTTCTAACAAAATGCTTCTTTTTTATATGTTTTTTCGTCGTTTTTTTTTTGGGGGGGGGTTTAGCTTTCGGATGTCTTATGTCGTTGTTCCACTGCATCTTTGGATTTCTGTGCATCTTCGAATTTCTTTAAATCTTCGGATTTCTCCATCGCCTGTTAGGACACTTCCTAGTTCAATTCCGGAACTTGTTTGTTTGTCGGATCTCCAGTTCGTAACAGTTGATTCTACAAGTTTTTTTCAGTTTCTGCCATATTGCCTCGATACAAATAAGTACTTAAGACAAATACACTAAATATTCGTCCGTGCATCGAAAGTACTTGGGTTACGAAAAACTACGGCTCCTTCATTGATGAATTTCATCTTAACATCAAGAAACTGATGAGAGAACTGGAAAGGACCAGTATAAAATAAAGATAAAATATGTCGATATTATTCAATGAAACATGTTTGAATGAAGATATGCTGCCTAAATACACAGACGCATACACATATAATTGTGCGTGTGATTATATATATATATATATATATATATATATATATATATATATATACACATGAATTATTCACACAAAAACTAATGCAAAGGTTAATGATTTAAATGGCGAGACATCCATCATCGCAAACAATTCAAATAATATACAAAAACCTCCGTATCCGTTATGAATGAAATGATCCTTGTTTATATAAATGTCTGCCGTATTAGTTCTTATTTTACTACAAGCTTTCGTCTGTTCCTACAGACATCTTCATGTATAGAATAGATGTTGTTCTTGTTTTTTCTCTTAGTAATAAGAGGACATCGAAAATATATGTATATATGCGTGTGTGTGTGTAAAAGAGAAAGAAAGAGAGTGTGTTCGTGCACGTAATTTTTCTTCTTTTCTGAAAAAAGAAGGCGATGTACCACAACAACAAAGAGACGTAGAAGAGTAATGGAGAAGCTTGGGTTGAAAGAAGAAGAAGAAGAAGAAGAAGAAGAAGAAGAAGAAGAAGAAGAAGAAGAAGAAGAAGGATACGTAGATTAGAAAGGAAGAAGACGTCGAAGAGAAGAAGAAAAAGAAGAAGAAATAGAAGAAGAAGAAAAGAAGAAGACGTAGATTAGAAAGGAAGAAGACGTCGAGGAGAAGAAGAAGAAGAAGTAAAAGAAGAAGAAATAAAAGAAGAAAAGAAGAAGACGAAGATTAGAAAGGAAGAAGACGTTGAAGAGAAGAAGAAGAAGAAAAAGAAGAAGAAATAAAAGAAGAAAAGAAGAAGTACATTAGAAAGGAAGAAGAAGAAGAAGAAGAAGAAGAAGAAGAAGAAGAAGAAGATAATGGTAGCTTGGTAATTTTGTTGTAAATGTGTGTCCGTGTGTGGGCTGTATAGAGACGACAGGATCGCATCTTCTCTATTCATATATTCCATCTTCTCGTAGTAGTAAAATCCCTATATGTAGCGCAGGAAAATTGATAAGATACAGAGGACATGTCTTCCCGAAGATTATCAAGCATAAACTGAAAGAAACGTTTTTGTTTCAGATGTTCGCTCGGTCATTTCGCTCCAAGCACGATTAATTTAGCGTAAGCACCAGTAAATTGCCCGCTACTTACAAATAGCGACGCATTGGCCATTTTGCGTGGGAAGTCATGGTGCTCGGGCCAAAACATTAAAACTCAACGGAAAAGCAATAAACAGCATCCGCCCTGCTTCTCTTTATGGACGAAAAAACACTAAAGAAAATGGCAACTACATTGTGGCTAAAAGAAATGGGTGGGTGCGCAAGATAGTGGGGAGCTGGCAACAAATAACAGGTGAGAAATATGAGAAAATAGCGAAGAGGAAAAAGAAGAGAAAGAGGAAAGTGTGAAGGTGAGAAAAGCGCGAAGAGGAAGTGAGAAATAAAGTGAATGACGAATGAGAAAATAAGTAAAAAGAAATAGATGTGGAGGTAAGTGGTAGAAAAAAAAGAAAAGGTTGATGAGAAAGTAATGGTAAGACAGTAGTCTAGGAAAAGAATGCTTTAAATAAGAAGAAAATGAAAAAAAGAAGGGAAAAGGGAAAAGAAGAAGCAGTGGATGAGAACAGAAAAAGAAGAAGACAAACAACAACAAGGAGGAGAAGAAAAGATGGATGAGAAAGAGAGAAGTGGATTAAAACAGAAGACGTGGATGAGAGTAGTTAATGGGGAAAGAAGAAGAAGAAGAAGAAGAAGAAGAAGAAGAAGAAGAAGAAGAAAGAATGAATGAGAAAAAACGAAGAAGTGCTAGAAAGGAAGAGAAAGTGGACTAGAAGAAGAAGAAGAAGAAGAAGAAAAAGAAGAAGAAGAAAAAGAAGAAGAAGAAAAGAAGAAGAAAAGAAGAAGACGTAGATTAGAAAGGAAGAAGACGTCGAAGAAGAAGAAGAAGAGGTAGATGAAAAAGAAAGAATGAATGAGAAAAAACGAAGAAGTGATAGAAAGGAAGAGAAAGTGGACTAGAGAAGAAGAAGAAGAAGAAAAAGAAGAAGAAGAAGAAAAAGAAAAGAAGAAGAAAAGAAGAAGACGTAGATTAGAAAGGAAGAAGACGTCGAAGAAGAAGAAGAAGAAGAGACGGATGAAAAAGATACATTGAATGAGAAAAACGAAGTAGTGTTAGAAAGGAAGAGAAAGTGGTCTAGAGAAAAAGAAGAAGAAGAAGACAAACAACAACAAGGTGGAGAAGAAAAGATGGATGAGAAAGAGAGAAGTGGATTAAAACAAAAGACGTGGATGAGAGTAGTGAATGAGGAAAGAAGAAGAACTGAAGCGGATGAAAAAGAAAGAATGAATGAGAAAAAACGAAGAAGTGCTAGAAAGGAAGAGAAAGTGGACTAGAGAAGAAGAAGAAAAAGAAAAAGAAGAAGAAGAAATAGAAGAAGAATAAGAAAAAGAAAAAAAGAAGAAGAAGAAGAAGAAATAGAAGAGAAGAAGACGTAGATGAGAAAGGAAGACGTCGAAGAGAGGAAGAAGAAGAAGAAGAAGAAGAACCACAACAACAACAACAACAACAAGAGGGAGATGAGAAAGAAAGAGAAAGTGAATGAGAAAAGATGAAAAAGAAGAAGAAGGGGATGAGAAAGGAAGAGAAAATGAATGAGAAAAGGAGAAGAAGAAAAAGAGCGGGGTGAAAAGGGAGGAGAATGTAGATAAAATAATAATAATAATTAGCTTCGGAGCTAAAATAGTACCATATTTCCCTCCTTATTCTCAAATTTTACCATAGACGGTCACTCCTACCAAGCCCGACTCCATAATGATGTTACTTACTAAAACATTGTTAAAAGGAATTATTCTAATAACTTACGGGCAACTTTCGTCGGTATCAGCTGATCTATCTTTACATAAATATACCTCAAAACACTCCTGTCATTAACTAGCTGGAAACTCCATAAGAAAGAAACAAAAGGAAATTTGCCTTGCACGGGGTCAAATAGGAAACACAGGCGAAATTCCAAAAAAAATTTGACCTGCTATCCAACAATACACTAAAATATATTTCCTGAATATGCTCTGCTGAAATGACAATGTGTCTAATATGAGCCTTCGTTTTTTTAAAAGTCAGACAGGATGATGCAAGTTCATAATTTTTAAAGGATTATCATACTTTTTATAAGATGTTTTTTTATAACGTTTTAACGAAAACATATTTGTTAAATAATTGGTTTAAATCTAAAAAAAAAAATTCAGTTGCCTGGCTCTTTTGAGTTCTAATGTTTCATCAGCCGTCTTGTTGCCTCTCCAGGCAAAACTGTTAAAATTCACCAAAACCTGCTACCCCGAGATCCGTATTATCAAACAACGACTAGGTATTGAATCAAAAAGTAGGGTCAGTGGGCACATGCTAACGTTTGCCTAATATGTCAGGGGAACCGATTTTGTTTTGTCCCATTTACGCACAACTGAGAAGGAAAAAAACATTGTACTGCATTTCATCTTTTTGAGAAGATGACTAAATACGTAATGCTCATCTCTCAAAAGCATAATAAAAACCAAATGACTTCATTAGAAACCAAGGACAGAGCTCTAAACTGCAAAGTAATATCAATCCTCCAATATAACAGTGAATGCTGGACACTGATGAAGAAGACCACAGAGATGCGTTTCTACAGAAGGATGCTGAAAATGTCATGTAAACAATTTTTAAGGAAAATGAAAACAAAAAGGACAATGATACTCAGAATCAAAAACAAAGATATATAATAAGCAAGATGGCTGAGAGAATTTGAAACAGATGGCCGTGAATGCTAGACAATCTCCTAACAGATGAAGAGGAGACCTGAAGAAAAGTGTACCGAACTTCTATGTAATATCAATCTTCCTATATAGCAGTAAGAGCTCAACGATTTTTTTCACAGACGAATAGAACTGAGGCAACAGAGGATATGTAAAAAGCTCCTTTCATTCTACACCTTCATTTGAAACAGGAGATCCCTGATAACACCAAAATTATATATATATATGTTTTAAGACATTTTATGTTACACATTCTTTTTATAAATACAAATATTTAAGTAAATGCTCTGTTTATAATAAACAGTATTAATAACATTTACCGGCCTGAATGTCCGAGAAATTGTCATAGAAATATTCGTCCCTCCGACAGGAATCGAACCTGTATCTTATACGGAACACGTCATTTAGCCTAACGTGCCTTAACCGATTGAGTCACAGGGGATCGTTCGGTTAGCAAGGTCGATTTTACTTCTTTTAAAATACAATCTTCCATGAATCTCTTACGTACATTCATATCTGCTCAATGCGTATCCAAATGTAAACAAATGACGTCACACACAGATATGAATGTACGTGAGAGATTCATGGAAGATTGTAGTTTAAAAGCAGTGAAATCGACCTTGCTAACCAAACGATCCTCTGTAGCTCAATCGGTTAAGGCACGTCAGGCTATATGACGGTTCCGTATAGGATACAGGTTCGATTCCTGTCGGAGGACAAATATTTTCTATGAAAATTTCTCGGACATTCAGGCCGGTAAATGTTATTAATACTGTTTATTATAAACAGAGCATTTACTTAAATATTTGTATCTTTTAAAAAGAATGTATAAACATAAAATGTCTTAAAATAATTGTCGGACTTTGTCCATTTCATAATATGTATATATGTATATCTGTCTGTGTGTGTGCTTATAGGTGATTAAATTATGATTACAAATCAAAATACTATTAAAATTTCAAAACAATTCCTGCTTGACACACCCGTCTCTTGTGGGCGCCATAATGAAATATATTTGACTCAAAATGATCAAATTAGGAGTACAAATAATAAGGTTAAAATAAAAAAAAGCTCCTATTTGACACGATTACCTTTTGATGATGCCAGCAGGAAACATATCCGTTGTATATTATTAAATTATGATTACAAATCAAGATAATATTAGAATATTCAAAAAATCTTCCATTTGATACACTGGAGACGTGATGACACAAGAATAAAATATATATTATTATAAATGATTAAGTTATGATTTCAAATAAAAATAAAGTTAAAATATATTTATTTAAATCCTTTGATTTGCCTATCGTCTGGTTCTCATTCCGCCCAAGTCCTTTGAACAGGAGTAGAGGTTTATCGCTTGTTTCCTGTTTAGGATTGGATTTCCTCTTTCTTTTAAAGGCTTTTTCAGTCTCTTAGACTCCCAATAGCCCTCTTAGTGGTATTATTGCCTTACTTGGGATTTAAAAAATCTCTTAAGTAACGTCCGCCTCAATGCTAATCCGGATTATCTCGCATCTGCTTGTCTCTGAGATTCTTAGTCTTATTGGCGAGAGCCGTTACATCAGTTATGTGCCATGCGTGATATATTCTTAGGCGATCATGTATCTTTCGATACATGAATGATGAGACAGATTTTGTCCCGCAGTAGGTTGCCATTTCCTTCTGCGGTAGACCAGTTGCCATCCAAGGTTATAGAACCCGGTCTGTCCTGAGAAGAAGAGGATTCATACCTTTCCCAAGGGTATTAGCACGTAAGTGAATGTAATGGATTCAACTGGAATTCGAACTCGGCTCTCTGATTACTCAATCTGAGCCGTTATCCATTACCGTGCCACCCCCGAGTCGTTACTTACACTAATATAATCTCAACAGAACATCTTAACATCTATCTGCAAACGCTGTCGTCTTCACCCGGGTTTGATCCCTAGGCTTCCATGTTCGCCGCGGATCGCCTCTTACTCATCCCGGCATTGGCTAGGCAAGTCTAGATAGATTTTTTATTATGATATCAGGTTGTAGCCAACAAGAACGTGTCTACCATACTGGCAACACCCAGTTCTTGATAATGAATGAGATGGTCGAAAGTAATTGAACTTCAAACAAAAGAAAAAAAATGACTTCGGACAGTTTATTCTCAATTTTCTTTTCATACAGACATTGACGGTTGAATTCAACAAAACTTTTCTAAAAGATTTCTGACCGCCTAAGTCTTCCTTGCATATATATATATGTACGTATGTATGCGTAAGAAATATATATGTATATGTAGAAATAAATAGGTTGGCGTTTAGCGCGCAATGAGACCACCGGGAATGATGGACCCCAAGCCTTTGATAATGTATCCGACTAAAAGAAGCAAAGCTCTGATGCAACACTCGCTTTAGTGCTAATAGAGATAACTTAGAGAAGATATGAATCTGTTTCTTTTCCACACAAGCTATGGGTCAAACATTAGACAGACTTAGTCAGTAATCTGTCTTGGAGAAGGAGAACAAACCTAATACAGATATCTAGCATCTTCTTATCTCTAGGATTCTTAGCCTTGTTGGTGCGAGTCGTTATGGTGTTTTGATGTGCAAGCCATACAAGATTATAAACTCAGCACGGGCTTTGCTGACATCTTGACATCAATCTGCGTTGTAGGTGTGACCCACGGTCAGCTTAAACTCCGGCCTTGCGCCTTAACATCTAATGCTTCTGTGTTCAACGCGGGGGAACACTCATCGGTTGGCACCATCACCATTGGAAAAGACGTGATCCATTTCCGCAAATAAATTTGGAAACGGCTATGGGTTAAATGCAGGGTGTACACCGAGATTGGCAACCAATCTAGGAGAAAGAGCTAAATTCAGGCACCGTATACTGTTTAACAATAAACGGAGAATAAACCATTTATACGCAAACATTTGAAAGGTATTGTACCTCCAGGCGTTAATTAGTAAACTTAGATCACTAAAACTATTAACCTTTTGGAAAGGTATGAATCCATCTCCCCAAGACTTGTATCACTAAAACTGTAAAAAAAAATAATATTGCATATGGAATATTTAGATTTCGGCATTAAACAATCAATAGATGGTACCATTGAGCGACGCAAAATGATAATATTCGATACATTAAAAATTTCATTAAAATAATCAGTCTAGGTGTCTTAAACAGTGTTTACTGAGAAAAACGTTTAGTGACTACTTTATTACGAAGAGACAGACTGTTTTGGAATGAGTTGGATGAGATTACGAAAGGTACGACAGCTCGTAACCTCTTAAAACTCACTTTTGTCTTGATCGTTCTGATAAAGATAAAATAAACTTCCCGAATTAAAATTTGTTGGTGATGGCCTCAGACTCAACACGGAATCATTTTATACATCACGTGCATTGAAGCGGTAGTGCATAAATTTGAAACCCTGGGTCAAGAAGGGTGGCTGCTGGAAACAGAGACTCTGCACCATCGTTCTGATAAGAAAGCCACACTCAACACGGCAAGAGAACTCAGTCATGGCTGTCAGACAATTTCTGCAACCACATCACTCCTTAGATCTGGCCACATAACTCACCAGACTGCAACCTCCTTGATTATTATGCGGGAGTGGGCGTAGTTGAACGAAAAGCCAACAAAACTCCTTGTCACACCAAAGATGAACTGAAGGCAAGGATTATGGCAGCATTCACCAACTTAAACAAGGAGACCGCCCTGAAGAGATTCAAGAGATTCCGAAGGCGTTCGGAGGCCGTGGTTGAAGCCAAATGGCGATTTTATTGAATAAACTTACTTTTTAGTATTTCAAGATATTTTTGTCTCATTTTGGTAAATATATCTGTTAAAATGAGATGTCAGTGTTACTTTCATGTTTGCATAATTTAGACGACAATTTATCCATCGCAGCCTGTATTATTATTATTATTATTATTTTGTTTTTTTGCCTTTGAAACAATAAAACCTTGTTTGAAATAATTAATGATTGTTTTATTTCCTGTTTTAAGCTTTGTCTCTACCTTTGATACAGCAATATACGAGTTATTTAGAAGTTATAACATCTAAAAAGTAAAATCATTGCTTTATAAAAGCTTCAAGGGATCTAGGGTGATGCAGCCTATCCTCGCCTAAAAGATATTCCAGCCCTAGGTTGAAGCCTGTAAGAGGTTAAAGGGTAATCGGGCCTTGCAATGTTGGGCTACTGCTGATAACAAAGATTCATGAAAACGAGGCACATTCAAGTAAAGACACAAGATTAATTTCAACGTAAAAACAAAATATTCTTGTTTAGGAAACATTTTGTATTAAACATTTATAAAATTTCATTATCGCTCGTATTTAAACAATGGTATAAAATTGTCTGGCAAAAGGATTCTGCATTATGCCACATTATCAGGAGAACACAATCATGGCTACCAGACAATTTCTGTGACCAGATCACACAATATATCTCACCACTTAATTCCTCAGATTGGAAGCCCCTTGATTATTATGTGTCGGGTGCAGTTGAACGAGAGACCAACAAAATTCTTTGTGACATCAAAAATGAACTGAAGGTAAGAATTATGGCAGCATTCACTAACTTAAAACAGGAGACCGTCTTGAAGAGATTCAAGAGATCCCGAAGGCGTCCGGAGGCCGTGGTTGAAGCTAAATGTCGATTTTATTGAATATATGTACTCCTTAGTATTTCATGATATTTTTTGTGCAATTTTGGTAAATATATCGGTTAAAATGAAATGTCAGTGTTATTTTCATTTTTGCGTAATTTAGTCGTAATACATACCACCCTGTATATTTTTACATAATTACAAAAAGGTTATCTACGACACTCTTTAGTTTTAGGTGCTGAATATAACATCAATCAGCTAAGTTACTGATTTTATTTGTATTAATCCTATATATATATATATATATATTCGATGCATGAGGTGCAAGCAGTTCAGTTCCTAGGAACCGACAACCAGACACGAGCACATATGACGGCAATGTGGAGTGGTTGCATCGAGTTCACGTGAATCTTGCAAAGCGCATCAACCTTTGCATCACAAATGATTCAAAATCATATGGAAGATGTTTTTGGTAATATTTCAGTTCGGAATTTAGAGACACCATATATATATATATATATATATATATATATATATATATATATTATCATAAAGAGAAAGAGCAGTAAGGTATATAATGCGGTGTTCTTATTAATATTGCAATATCTCATCTATTGAGGATCCAGACAACTTAAAAGTCTACATCGGATGCACAAGTCATGAGTTCAAAAAGCGGTTTAATCAATATCAAAGTTCTTTTAGAATAAATAAATACCGAAATCAGACATCCCTATCGAAATATTTCTGGCACTTAAAAGAAACTAATAAAACACCTACTGTGAAATGGAAATTAATAAAAAAGCTAGAATATGTAGGTCATGAAATGAACCATGTTCTTTTGTGCATACATGAGAAACTTTATATTACTGAGTTTATAAAAAAATAAAAATTTACTTAATCAAAGAAATGAAATAGCTATCTTTGCCGACATTGTCAAATTTTTTCCTTAAATAATGTTTTAAAAAAAAGCTATAAATAAAATATACATATTTATATTCGATATCTAATAATAATTTTAAATAATTTAAATATTCCTTATACATTTATTTGTTTAAAAAGAAGTATAGTCTTATAGTAATTAAAATTAAGAATAATATTTTAAGATGGTAGCTCAATACGACGTATTCATATACAAACAACCATTTTAGGAAAAAAAATTGTTTAAAATCTTTATGTATACAAGTACAAATTTAACGGCGAAATAAAAGTGCTGAAAAACTTTTTGTCGATGCAAAATACCAGACGACATGCGTTGAACGGAAGTCATCATTCGTTGAAAAAGGCACTCCAACCCTACCTTGACTTAATCTCTTTTCGAAAGTAACTCATATTTTAATACAATTGTTGTTAGAGAAACCCCTTGTTATAATCATTGAATTTCCCCGTTTTCTTAGAAACTAATATTATCAATGTATGTGCTTATAAAACTCAGCAAATTTCAAAATAAAGTTATTCCAAAATTCGCTTGAAAATGAAACTGGACTTTAATTTAATTTAATTCTATAACTGAATTTAAAGTTTTTTTTAGTTTCTGTTTTTGAAACATGGTAATTCCTGTGTAGCGATGGAACCATATTTTTAAATTAGTAAATATATATATATATATATATATATATATATATATGTGTGTGTGTGTGTGTGTGTGTGTGTGTGTGTGTGTGTGTGTGTGTGTGTGTTGTAGGATCCACCTAATTTGCATAGTGGGTATCGACCATATAAATATGGTTGGTACCTGGAAGAGAAGGAAGGAATCAAGAGATTCAATCCAGAGACTCTGCCTGACTGCGACTAAGTTAATACATTCTCCAGGAAACGGTCTTCCCAAGAATATACAAAAGACTGTATGTAAATATTGTGTACACTTTCTTGTTTCAATACATTTTGTTCTAAGTACATTTTGTGTTGTATTATTATTCCATGCATTAGTCAAGTTTCAACTAATATATATATATATATATATATATATATTATTAGTAGTAGTAGTATTTAAACGTCGTTTGTAGTGGATACCCATATTTAAGTAGACGTTCCATTTATTTATTAAACAGTATATTTGTTTATTTTCTCCTACCAGTCTGAATATTCGAGAAATCTTATCAAAGAAAAGATACGGTAGATGAAAATGAATAATTATTTATACAATGTATATTCGGACTATTGTCCTCATGTCGAGGGGGGGTATCGTCTGGTTCTTATGTTTAGTACTGTGCATTTCGATTGAATATAAGTAGCCGCTGCCTGACCCAGTGATTGAACTTCCAACCAGCATATATATATATATATATATATATATATATATGTGTGTGTGTGTGTGTGTGTGTGTGTGTGTGTGTGTGTGTTTAGGCAGCAATCCTTCTTTCATGCAGGTTCATTGTATACGACAGACAAAGGACTTTGATTTAGTTTTTTTTTATACCATTTCCTATGTGATCTAAGTTTTTTTTTTTTTCGGTAGATAAATTATATAAAAACTGTCCAATTATTCTTTTTTTCCGAGAGCTTTCGGCTATATATTTAGCCATTTTCCAGGTTAAAATATATTAACTATTAACAAGAAGTATGTGTGGATGTATTTATATGCTTTCATTTTCAAGACACGGTCAAGATATTGTTTCCTATTCATAACATATTTGTTGACAATACAAATATAATAGCATTGTCTACATGTAAAAAAAGGTTAAAAGTAATGGAAGCTTTATTAATAAAAACAAATAACCAACAAACAATAATATTAACTGTGAACTTAGGCTTAATATCTTGACCATAATTTAAAAATGAAAACCTTATATAAATACATACGTACAACAATCTATTTCTTGTTAACAGTATATATATATATATATATATATATATATATATTGTGTATAAACTTCAGAGTCAATGGTGTGTGAAGCCACATCTATGATGTACACACAAATCTGATTTCAATTGTGATTCATAGAGAATATAAGCAAAATTATATGTATTACTTACCTGTTGTTATTCGGCATATCTATGCCTGCAAAGAAAAAAAGTAAATAAGAAATGAGTGATAATTATGTTTGTAAATTTTGATTAAGCAAATATGATTGTAAAGAAAAAAATCGTTATACAGACAGATAGATAGATAGATAGATAGATAGATAGATAGATAGAAAAAATATAGATATATTTTTAAGACATTTTTATGTTTATACATTCTTTTGATAGATACAAATATTTAAGTAAATGCTCTGTTTTATAATAAACAGTATTAAACAACATTTACCGGCCTGAATGTCCGAGAAATTTTCATCGAAAATTTTCATCCTCCGATAGGAATTGAACCTGTATCCTATACGAAACCATCATATAGCCTGACGTGCCTTAACCATTTCAACCACAGAGGAGTGTTCAGTTAGCAAGGTCGATTTTACTGTCTTTTAAATTTTAATCTTCCATGAATCTCTCACGTACATTCATATCTACTCATGGTGTATGTAAACAAATAACGTCACACATTAGGAAATGGACAAAGTCCGACAATTATTTTAAGACATTTTATATGTTTATACATTCTTTTATAGATACAAATATTTATAAAAATCTGTTTTTAAAATAGTATTAAACAATAGTTATCGACCTGAATATTCAAGAAACTTTCAGGTCGCTAAATGTTGTTTTTAATTTATTATAAAACAGAGCATTTACTTAAATATTTGTATCTATAAAAAAAGAATGTATAAACATAAAATGTCTTAAAATAATTATCGGACTTTGTCCATTTAAATAATACACACACACACATATATATATATATATATATATATATATATATATATATATATATATATATATATATAATATGATAATCAAAACGTTTCAAATAAAAAATAATAATGTTTTATTTTAATATATTTTTTATATATGTTTGATATTTGAATTGTCCTCAATTTTTCATCAGAAATAACTATTTTGTTACAAATAAATTAAACAAACAGTAATTTTAATTTATTTGTAAGAAAACAGTTATTTCTGATGAAAATTGAGGACAATTTGAAATATCAAATATATATATAAATAAATAAATACTTTTTATAAAATAAAACATTATTATTTTTTAATTTGAAACTTTTTCTATATATATAAAATGTAAAAGAACGAAAAGAATATAAATGTTCTTTTTCCATTTTCTTTTCTTTTCCTTCTCCCTGTAGTAGGGTTGATTTCTCATGCCTTTCTTTTCTTTTCTCTTTCTATTCCTTTTATTGATTACTTATTCTCTTCTTTTCTTTTTTACTTTAATCTGTTTTTTTCTTTCTTTTCCTTTTATGGAAATTTGTTTTATATATTTATTTCTTTACCTTCTATGGAAATTTTTCAAATACGTAAAAAGAAAAGAAGCGATTGTTTCATAAGTTGTGTTTTTAAATAAAATCGTTTATTGCCACCATTGTTAACTACCTAATGAGACGTCTAAATTAGACGTAGAAACAAATATGCATTTTTGTCGTGGTGACTTGCATTTTCCAACGTAACTGTTTATATATATATATATATATATATATATATATATATATATATATATTATAAACAGTTACATATATATGTAAGTGTAAGTATAAGATTGGTGTTTACGGAATAAATTCCAATAACCAAAAAATATTATTCTTAAAAGAGTGCTCATTACTGAGCAAATAACGTTTATTCTGATTTTTGGCCTTTCAACTAAAACAAAATAAATAACAAAATATATGTATTTTTCCTCAGTTTCTTTAAATAATTTTATAATGTTTTAAATTTAATATAGATTAAATTTTAAATTGGTAATTTCTAATTTTCAGTTTTATAATAAAAACATTAATTAGAATGATTTCTATAGTCTAACCCTAACATTAAGGCATTAATGATTATAACTAAGGTTCGTTGTCAAGTTTTTTGAATTCATATATACTTGTATTTTGATAGGTCATTGCAGCTTATGTAACAGCGTTTCTCCTGGCCGGTGGGGGGGTGGTGATTGATTTGAACCTTTTAAAGCCCTTTTAAAACCCTTTATTCTCCATTCAAGCATTGAAACAAGATAGCTATTTTTGTAGTAATTTTTAACATATGTATGTTATAATGTATAATTATAATTTAAATATATATATATATATATATATATATATATATATATATATATATATATATATATATATATATATATATATATATGCTCAAGTTTGAGAGGCTTGGTGATAGTAGTCGTGGCTCCTGGAGGCACAGTCCTATGGTTAGAGAGAATCTCAGAATATGTGAGCGAGAGGCGCTATAATGAGTCTGATTTGCAATCTCTTGGGCCCGGTGGAACAGTTGGTATGACGTTTGCTTGATAACCTAACTGTCCGGGTTTCAATTCTCGGTAGTGGATGCGCACTGCCGATGAGTCCCAAATATAGGACGAAACGGCTGTCGATGAGTCCCAAATACAGGACGAAACGGCTGTCCAGTGCTTTCTGCATTCTGTTGAGGTTTCTTTCAGACTCGATGAATTACTTAATTATAATTATCAAATCCTCCTTCTATCATTTATATATATATATATATATATATATATATATATATGAGAGTTGAAGATCAAATATACAGTGTGGTCCGAAAGTCTTGTCATCTCATACCAAAAAGTAATGAGAACAATAGAAGAAAAATAATACACTAATAAAAAGCAGATGTACTGGAATTAGTTTATTCGCTTTCATTGACGTTGTCATACAGCGAAAAGATCATTTTTGTGGCAGCCATCTGAGATAGAAAATTATATTATGTAGGAGCGACAAGACTTTCGGACCAGCCTGAACAGATATGGATATGAATCCAACAAGATGATAACATAAGATAAAGAACAAGTAGGAAATGTATCTCAATCTATCTCACATATTTATATATTATCTATTGCGTGAATACACGTGACACGTATCTGACCAATAAGAACTAACCAAAAATCATAATATACCAGTACTCTCTGCCTCTTTGTTTTTTTTTTCATTTCTATCTGATTTCGACGAAGCTTTAATAAAAGTGAAAGATGTTAGAATGAGATACATTTCCGACTTGTTCTTTATTTTATTTTATCATAATATATATATATATGTGTGTGTGTGTGTGTGTGTGATAACATACCTCCTAGAATGCACACTATGCCAGAAACAATATGTAGAAAAATCTGAATGGCCCCTTTCACTACAGAATTAATTATTATCGCAATCGAATTAAGTCGACACCCCATGAAAAATTATTACCTGTACAACAACATTTCCGCCAAGAAAAAAAACACGATTTTAAGACCCATGCCAAATTCACTATAATTGAGAGAATAGAAAAGTTCAGAGCAGATAATATTAGAAAGATTTTAGAGTTCCATGAAAATAAGTGGATACAACGTCTAAAAACACAACATCCAGCCGGGCTAAACCATAAATTTAACAATATAGATAGTACTAATATATAACACTACAAATCAAAACCTACCCACATTTCTCACCCACACTAGACAGACATGCTTAATGAGGTGTTGAGGCCTCACACTTATACACTCACCCACACGAATATACACACTTACGCACATCATACTCACTTACTCCCTAATAAGCCAAATGATAACACACACCCACAGCAATATACACGCTTAGACATATCATACTCATTCACTCCCTTAAAAGCAAATAACACACACACATACATACACACACACACGCACACACAAACACTAAATAGAGACACATCCCCTCTCCAGGAACCAATAAAACTGTCAAACTGACCACAGGAATTCAGAGAAGCATAGATCCATCCAGCTATTATCTCAAATAACAACTTAAAAGAGACTGTTTGACCAACACAAGAAATGTTAAAAGATTCATGTTAAAAAGATAAAATAATAAAAAAAACAAATGAAAACTACAGACAAAAGTTCATTTTGTCCATCAAGACATTCATTTCTGTAGTTCACTGCTACCAGCAAGCAGAAATATTTCTTCTCCTGATGATGTCCATTTTGGCCGAAACTAGTCGAGTAATCTAAATGAAATAATAATAATAATAACGAAAGAATATTAATCTACAACCCAGTGTGTCTGAAGTTTTTAATTTTATAATATTTTTTATTGTTCAATATATATATATATATATATATATATATATATATATATATATATATATATATAATATATATATATATATATTTTGTATATCAAGAACAATATTGGCAGAGTGGAAAAGTTTTGTTGTGACGCGTTTCGTCCTTTAGTACTTCATCGGAATAAATTTGTTATGTTGGCGCGACTGCACATGCGCTCGAGCGAGGGATGCTGGGATTTTTTTTCTTTCTTTCTTTAATCTTGCTGATTTCATTTAGACTCTTTTTCTTTCCATCAATTTTATTAGTAGACATTCCACACTGTGATAATAGATAATAAAAAGTTCTGTCAGGGATGATGAAATGTTGTAAGAGCCAGTGCTGAAATTTATTGTGGATGACCTTGGGATCAAGCCATTCTCTTGATATTTTCGTCATAGTGAATTTTCTTCTTTGATCAGAGTAGCCTTTATTTATGTCAAAATTGAGGTCAGTTTCTTTATGATTGGCAACCAAAGCAATTTATGTGTTGTTTTGTAAAATGTCCCTTTTATGTTCATATAATTTGCAATTTAGATTCCTTGACGTTTCTCCTATATATTTTTGCGACATTTATTACAGACGATAAAGTAAAATGCAAATCTAATAAATGACAAATATACTGTCCTACCAACTAAGTCTATCACATCTACAATTGAAAAGAACCTATCTAAACTCAACATCAAAATTGTTACTACTACATCTAAAACAACAAAAGACTTAGACAATGCTAGACAAAACAATAAGGAGGAATTTACTCAAACGCCTGTAATAAATGTCACAAAAATATATAAAGAAACCTCAAGGAATCCAAATAAAAGATTATACGAACACAAATGTGATATTTTACGAAACAATACTTCAAATGCGTTGGTTGCCCATCGTATCATAGATTTGACATAAAAAATGCTACTCTGATCAAAGGAGAAAACAATTCCCAGGCAGAACTTGTATCATCACAGCGTGCGATATCTGCTAACAAAATTGATGGAAAGAAAAAGAAAAACAGCCTTAATGAAATCGGCTAGATTAAAAAAAAATAAATTCCCAGCATCCCTCGTTCGTGC